TTCAACAAGCAATCCCGAAAAATATTTGGGGGTGCTTAACTTTTTTCCAGGTGTATATATAAAATAATATAATTTCTACATGAATTCAAAAATAGTAGATTATAAATTTAATGTTTACTATTCTTTAACATAACTAGTGATGATCGGATTTTGTATGTCACGGAATTTAAAAGTCAGTAAACATGGATTATTGGTTCTTTCACTTTATGTAATGATAAAAACACCAATGTGTATTCATGATATTTTATGATTCTAATTTTGACGGGACATGTTCAGTGTTTACATTTCAGTTAGCATACAATTCTTGTATACTTTCTATTCAATTAGGCTCCATGAACTGATTACCCACGTTTCTAAAAAGGTGTTTAACCATCTAATACAAGTCTCCATATAGATATGCTATCATCAATGTATATAAGTAAAGTAACAAATTCTAACCAAAACTTTTGTTATGCATACTGAAAAATTTATTCACAAAACTAAATAAAATCTCAGACTTAACAAGTACCACTCGTAATGAAACATTTATTCACAAAACTTCAAGAATTAGACACAATAATATACTGTTTGTGAAACATCTTAGTTTATAAAATAGTGGATTATCTCATTCAAATTAGCTTTCGTCCAACTTTTATACATTATGTCCACATTACTCCTTAGTCATTTCAGTTAAGGCCTGGTATGGCCAGGTGGTTAGGGCGCTTGACTCGCAATCTGCGAATCGCGGGTTCGAATCCTCGTCCCACCAAACATGCTCGCCCTTTCAACCGTGGGGCATTATAATGTGATAGTCAAACGCACTGTTCGTTGGTGAAAAAGTTGGGGTGGGTGGTGATGACTAGCTGCCTTCCCTCTAATTTTACACCACTAAATTAGAGACGGCTAGCACAGACATCCATCCCTTGTGTAGCTTTGTCAAAAGTTAAGATGGGGTCAGTCAACAAATATTTGAAGAATGTAACTTATACTCATGTTGATAATTCACTAAGAAAAAGTAACTTAATTCTACTCTGTTCGGATTAAATATTAAATGCCAAATAATTATATGTTTAGCTTAGTTTTTTATGTTAAATTACACCCCATGAATATAAGTTTCTAACAAGTATGGTTGAACATGTATTACAAGTCTTCGTTTATATTTCTTACATAGTATTCAGACTTAACAAGTACCATGCATACTCAATCATTTATTAACAAAATTTCAAGAATTGGATATACTATTTACGTAAACACCTTAATTTATAAAATACTGCCCTGTGGTGCAATGTGATAATATCTGCTGTGTATACTTCTAGCATGTGATTAGTCAAACAGAATATATCACTATAAACCAAACATAGGGGACATTACTCAAAGTGATTTAAGCTAATATGATCATAAAAAGTTTCTTCATTTAGAAATTCTACAAAATACATCATGCATATGAAATCCATAACTAATTTGACTGCCCCCATTGTGCTGGACATTTGATCTTATTTGACCCTCACATTACCCCTCCCTATAGTTTAAAACTGACGTGTTTCACCATAGCCTAATATGCTATCATCAATATCTCTAAGTAAAATAATAAAATAAAAGTAAATAATACAAGTATGACACATACTAAATCATTTATTAATAAAACCTCAAGTTAGAAAAATATTACTTTATCCAAGATTAATCAAAAATAATTGGTATGCATCCTACCATTGAAGATTTTAAGAACAAAATCTGGGAAATAATTGTGATAGCAATAAAAAGATTCTTGACAGAAATATTTCAGTTTTGTTCTTGCTTACAATAAAAAATATGGTCTACAAGAAAAGACCAGTACTTTCTTTCACATTTTATAAAGCTATCACGTTTACTGCATAACGTTCACCATTGCAGAATATACTTTACAACCAAAATATATGTTGTATGTAAGTATAACTTAATTAATATATGTCACTGAACTTTGTGTGTATGTCAGTAAAAATGAATTTATCTATTATTCCACTTTACGTAACAATACAATGTACATTCTCAAGATTTGAGGGTACATTAAGAAGTTATTTTCTGTTTAAAGTTTCTACTTTTAGTTTCCAATCTATAATACACATATTTATAGTTTAAAACTACTATAACTTACCATGATCTATACAAAACCTAACTTCTTCAAGGTGTAATTGTTTAGACAGGTAAAGAAATAACGGTATCGTCTATCTTAAAATTTGGGTTGTGTTCTTCAAATTTATCTGAAGGCTAAGTTCCTCTGACAAACTGATAGCTCGATAACATTTGATATTTGGGAATAACACAAACCGAAACATGTATTGAATCATAAAAAAATTGGATTGCCAAGATTAAGTTAACTTTCATGCAAATCTAATGCATTTCAGTTAGCGTAGAATTCTTGTATACTTTCCATTCAGTTAGACTGATCTTTTTTTCATAAGTGTTATGGAAGTCAATGACCTCGACTTGAGAATCGACCTGTTCTATTGTCATGCAGTATTACAACATAATGAAAATAAGAACTAATATGTTTCTTGTGATATATAGATGACAGATTTTTATGTGCAGTAGCCTGAAGAGAAAACAGAGTGAGTAACCTTTTATGTCATTTTTGTAAAGTGGTTGCATATTCTATTGCTACTATTTCTTATGCACTTGTAATGGTGGCCGTGTAGGACGAGTGCTTGTAAGCAGACAATATTTTTACCTCGAACCCTTAGGGATAAACATCAGGATAGCAGTAAATTGATCAAGTAGGATCTGAACAGTGGGAGTATGTACAAATATG